GCACAGATCTTGGATGTTGTCAAGCTCCAGGCAAAGTTTTCTTGCAGTCCCCATGTAGACCAGTCTGCCATTTGAATAGGCTTGGTCTGGGTAATTGTTTCAAACTTTCATTTTACATGAAAAAATAACAAGACAGTTCTCGTTGGTGGAGGGAGTAATCGAATCTCTATGCATCTAAATATCCTCGGCAGTCTGTATTGTGTTTGTGTTATTCAGCAATGTGTGTTCTAATACTAGATAGACAATGTAAATGGGGATTTGATCTCCAGTGAAAGAGTACCTTAAGTGCTTCAGCCCAAATGTAATGCTGGATATGAAAAGGGGCCCTTTTCTGAAAGGGGATCTGATCCTTTCTTCCTCATTGCAGAGGGGTGGGTTATAGAGATAAGTTTGTCCTTTTCTCTTGGCAAAGTAGTCTCACTTGCACTTCTATTTATATTTGCTAATTTTCTACCCCACTACAGAAGTATATCCAAGAAGCCAGGAATCTGGGCAGCACTATTCGGCAGCCCAAACTGTCTAACCTCTCTCCATCAGTAATTGCACAAACAAACTGGAAGTTTCTGAAAAAAAGAATGCCGAAATAAGGTAATACAGAGACTATTTCTGTTCTCTTGCACCTCATATCCATCCTTTATAGACCATTTCTTGGCCAATATGTTTACCCCTCCCATCTGTTTCTGTTTTATCTGTATGAAGATTTTTGCGTGATAGTGAGAAATTCACAAAGAGAAAACGTATTTAGAAATTCTGCAAGGAGTGAAAACTTCATCAAGCAGATTTATGATAGCGAATGTAAAGAGACTGAATATTCTGATGGGTCTTTATCTCACTGCCCATGTCTATTATAGCTTATTTTAGTTATCACTAATGAGACTATACTATTTCAACAAGAGTGAATATTCCAAAGGAGAAGGTTATGGTGAAAATGCAGGAGCTTTTCTCATAACTAAAGGAAATGGGTTAACAAACTTCTGAAACATAAGTTTTCAAGCGCTTAACGAAGAAATTTGGCATTAGTTTGTAGGCATGCTTCACCAGTATATAGCTGACAATATATTCATCTGAATTAAATGTTAATGTTTATACTAACATAATAAAGAGAATAATTGTCAAATAGACACATTCTTGCCCTAAGTCAGTGGAGGTAATACAGCAATTGCATACAAATTCTTGTAATACCATGTTTAATACATGCATCTACTTCTAATTTCATTTTTGTTTTCTGTACGTACGAAACTGTCCAAATAATCCCCTTCACTTAATAGAGGCATAAGACAGTGAAAATTGATGAAGATAGGCTTGACTCTTTCACTGTGGGATTGCAACTCTAGGGAATGTAGTGAGCCTGCCGTTAGCAGAGAGAGAAGTTACCAGGGGAGGTGAGGAGAAGAAGCTAGAGACTAATTTAGAGTTCTTAATCTCAACTAAGACTGTACGTAGGTGCCTGAGGGACTATTACTCCTTTGAGGGTTACTCTAGAATAGCAACAAAGATGAAAAAATGTCTAAGAGATGAGCAGAAGTGATTCTCTAGTAAATTTTCCCTCCAGGTAGCTATATGATGAATATGTTGTGGCTGGGAGACTGTACTTTCAGAGTTGGTGAGAGCTTTATTGACTAGCATGAAATTGTGCACAATTTAGGAGAATGTGACTCATTGGGGAAACTCAAGAGAGGCACTCCAGAATGGATTTGGCTTAAACACAAATACCCTTCTGATGGAACAGGGTCTCACAGGAATGACGTATCCCCCTGCTACTTGGAAGCACTTGTGTGCATGTCCACCTCTCCTGGGAAGAGGCGGACATAGTGTACTGCTGCCAGTCCAGCACTCACTGGCCTTCAAAAACACCCAAGACTTGTGTTGCAAGGCCCTTGCTGCTAGGCCTCTAGCTTGTCAATGTGTGGCCTGCTATTCCCTTTGGGGTTACTCTGTGGAAGCTTATGTGCCCATTGAAGTGATCAACACTGGTGCTGCCATGGCTTGAAAAACAGGGATAAAAGAAATGCAGTCCTTCACTAGCTTCAGAAATACTGCATACACCCAGTTATTCTGCCACATCTTTGCTATCATGTGCTTCCTTGTTGGTTATTTTAAAAAGTGTAAGTGATCTTGGAAGTTCCTGTGAAAAATTAACTCTCTTTTGCCTTGTCCTTTTTGAGACCAAGAGGATGTTGGTTGAAAAAATGGGTCGAGAAGCTGTGGAGCTAGGTCATGGTGAAGTGAATATCACAGGTGTAGAAGAGAATACCCTGATAGCCAGTCTGTGTGACCTCTTAGAAAGGATATGGAGCCATGGTCTGCAAGTTAAACAGGTGAGGAACAAATATTCCTGTATGTTGCACAGTGCACTTTCCTAAAGTCACATTATGCTCTTCCTCTCTCCACTTTCAGAGGATACCTTTTGCATGTATACAGACATGTTAAAATACTTGTGTGTGTCCCCCAGCCTTTTTTATGTCAGTTACTGCCCCTTTGTCTGTCTCCACTTCTTGCTTTGGGGTATGTGGAAGTGCACATATAGATGTGTTCCACAGATAACTTCTTGAAAGACTTACTTTCTGTTTAACCTGGGGTTTTTGTTTAGTTTGGTTTGTGGGTTTTGGTGTTTTGTTGGGTTTTGGTTTTTTTTTTTTTTTTTTTAATAGGATGGTAAATAAAACTATTGCTGTGTTCTTAATACTTTCGTTACTGAAGTTGCATAGGCTTGAAGGCAGTGTATGCTAACGGTGCTGTTAAAGGGATATGGTACGGGGAATTTGTTTTCATGAAGGATAATTTAGTTTTTAAGAGTAAAACCCTTGCTATTTTGGTTCTTCCTGAATGATGTAGGCATAGTTAAGTGACATTGACAAGATTGCTAGTTAGAGGTGGTGTTTTTCGTATGAAATTAATAATTGTTTGTGGTGCTTTTCTGTTTGGAGTCACTTGTGGGACTAGATGGAGTTTGGAAGGCCTTTATCCTTTCCTCCTCCTTTGTACAAAACAATATCAAGGACAGTGTGGATTATAAATTTTTTAAAAGTATGTGCAGAATAAATGTACAGAATCCAGACAACTGTAATTCAGTATCTCTGTTCCCAGCACCCGAGCGCCAGTGTTTAAATCTGCTCTCCTTCAAACGATATAGCAGTTCTCTATGTGAAGATTTATCATGTGATTCTCTCCCTTCCCTCTTGTATATCACTTAGGATAGAAGCTGTACTGCTTTCGTCTTAGAAGACAGAGCATCAGTATACTCTGCTTCAACTCAGATTTGGGCCTTTCAGACCACCAGACGGCCAACCCTACATAAGGTTAATGCTTTGGATTGATTGCAGATGTTGGCAAACAGTGCTGAATGGTGGAATAAAGAGAGTGGTGGAATATAATAGAGGCCTGATGGAGGAAGTGCAGTGCGTCTTGTCTTATGATCCACAGGTTTTTTTTTTTTAAAAAAAAAAAGCACCACCAATTCTCTGTGTGCTCTGCCTTTATTAAATATGCAAAAGCCTGCTGTTTTGTACATCGATTTTACTTTATTTTTCAATAATAAGCCAATGAAGACTCTTCTTTCTCAGTTGCCCATAGTAATGAGGATGGCTTTCCTTCCACCAATCCCTGCTTTTACCTCTTCCCTGCTGATGAACCTTAATGGTCCTATATTGCTACCTACTGATTCTTCCAGATGAAGTGAATCCACACCTTCCTTTGCCCGGGGCAATGCAGGAGAGTTGTTGGATGTAGGGTCCAATGACTGAAGTAGTCTGAACTTTCAGAAGGCCTTGGTTATTCCCTTGCCTGTTCTCTGTCCCACTGCTTTCCTTAGGCTGTATTCCTTTCCCTTATAGATACATCTTGCATCATCATTGCTATTTGGTGAAGTTAAAGGAGAGTAACATGATGGTAAAGGAAGTGGGCAGATATATACTGCATGATTTCTTACATTCATCATGATTGTTGACATCTATTTGCTGCAGGATCCTTTGTTTGCTGCTTTATGTTGCAGTTCTCCTTGCTGTGGCAGCTAGTTGCTGAACACTAGACTGTGTGTGTATGTGTGTTTATTGTGAGAAATGCCATTTTGGATGTAACTGTTCCCTGGTTGATGTTTTTCATGCTCTCTTTTTATGTTTTTATAAGACCTGCAATTTTGGCTTTCCGTGTTGGATCTGTCAGGTTCACACATGAGGCATTGAGTTTCTCTGGATTTTTTTATATCTTCACTACTGAATGCATATTTTTAATAGATTTCTCTCAACACAGATGTTACAGACACCCTAGGCTTTATCTTCTGGAGGCATGCGACTTCTGGAATAATCCTTCATGGTTGTTTATTCTTTATGTCAACTGTAGTGAGCTATAGGATTGAAGTGTTCAGAGATTTTTAAGGGTAGTTTTTTAAAAAATTATTTCAGAGTTGAACCATAATTTACTGCACCTCCAGGGAGGCACTTATGTGATTTTTAGATTATGATGATAGTGCTAAATTGACAACTGTTGCTTTACAGTCATGGTTTCTTTCTGTACAAAGTTGTAAATAAAAATAAGGCTTTATAATATGACTGCTCTTCTGAAATGCAGAATTGCTAAGTCTTTACTGGAATTTCAAGTTAATATAATAATTTATGAAGATGATAAGTAATACTAATTAATTTCCTCTGTAAGTAATTCCAATTAATGTGCTGGAGAGCCCCTGTTCAGTTACTGCTGCCTTTCTGTGGCTTTGCAAGCTTTTGATTTATCATGCAAAATATTTTAGGATAAATCCAAGTATCTTTTTAGTTTGCCAGAGAAAGATTTCCTCACAGTCTGCTTTAAGCCACCAGAGATTTAAGAAAGCAACATGATGAGCGAGGTGCACCTTTTAACATCATCGATGGATTTTTCTTGGCCTAAATACTACATCCTAAATTGTAACTTCCAAGTTGGTTTTATAATGTATAGAGCTGGAGTATTCTTGCTGATAAGCTTTCATTGTCCTGCTTGTGGTTTGGGTTGTCTTTTCTTACTGTGTTTGTGATTGTCCAAGTCCTTTGCGTGATGAAATTGAGGAGGGGTCTTTTATGGTTCTGAAAACTGACAGCATGCACCTGATAGCCCTGAATTACCCTGAAGGGAACAAGACTTGGTCTATGTGTAAGATTGGCTTACTCAGGCTGGCTCTATATCTCTTGTCATTTCACTGCTGGAGAGGCAGGGGGGGAAAGACACAAAGTACAGGTTACGGCCTCGGAACTCTGCTCATACATAGTGTTTTACAAGCCTTTAAATGCTTTCTTGTCATGTTAATGAACTATGAGAAACGAAGTTCAATTGACTTCTTCCTATTACCAGAATTATTAGATCCCAGTAGTCTGACTCTTTCTTTCTCAACCTCTTTACAGCTCCTGAGCACCTCCAACTTGTGTCTCATTCTTGTTTTTTACCAATGACTTTATAGGGAGAAACATATTTAAAACAAGTTTTTTAATGGCAGATACTTTCAGTGATGATTTAAACATTTTATTCAGCTGATAGTGATTTCTTTAATTTTTTTTTTTTTAATTTTAGGGAAAATCTGCTTTGTGGTCTCATCTGTTACACTACCTAGAAAACAGACAGAGAAAAACTACATCAGGCAGCTTCAGTACCTCGGGTAAGATTGGCTTCTGCTGAAAGAAGATGATAAACTATGAGTAAGAGCTGCCTGCAGATTTGCACCATGCAGAGATTGTTTCCTTGGAAATATGCTTCACTCGATATAACGGAATCAAGTATTCCATCCACTACAGAATTAATATGGACCTGGTGTATTGTCTCAATATATTTTGTGAAAAAGAAATTTGTTTGGATTGAGCCCACTTGTTTGGGTCTGAATACATGAGAAATACCTGATGTTTCAAAGATAGGCTTTAAAATAGATTGCTCCGACACACCATCCTCCATATGACATATAGTCACTGCATGACTGGCAAAGCATATTATGTTATGGATGGGGGTGGAAAGCAAGTGTAAGCATATGAAATTGTGCTGTACATCCTGAAGTTTTACATTCCCTCTTGAAAAACAACTGAACAGTAGGCTTATTGTTTAAAAGAAAAAGACATTTAAAAAAATACAAAAAACACTGAAGAAACCTATTTGATTTGTGTTATATCAAGTGTTGCAGTAAAAGTAATGTTGCACATAAGATCCGCTTGTAGTCTGTTTCTAAGGTTGTTAATGTAATTTTTAAACAATGCTTCTTGTGTCAGATCAGGGCATAGGGTATAACTTTGGAGAGAACAGTGGGTTTGGGGGAGGTGGTGTGTGCTTTTTCTTTCTTTTTCTTTATTAAAATTGTTATAGGCAAAGAGCTGAGCATTACTAACATGCACAAGGTCCTGTAACCTGTAAGCAATCAAAACCAAAGATTTGGAAAGTATTAAGGTCTCCTGAATGTCACTTGGTCCATAGTGTTTTTGCATATCAGACTGAAGTTATGATCAGCTTTATGTTTTCTAACTTGGGTTTGAAGGCAGGGACGGTATTTAATATACAACTTGATTCTAGAGTGGAATTTGAAAGATAAGAGTTATAATATTGCTTAAGAAACCCCAAAATATGCTATTTTAAAAAGTGGTGGTGTAACAGGAGTGTACAAAGTGGTAGATCAGTTAAGCACATGTGTGGTGTACTGAGTAAAACATGTTGAAGACTGTTTTCTGGTGTCAACAGTGCCAGTCAATTTTACTAAGTAGAAAGAAAATAGGGTAGTCTTTAGAAAATAATTCTTGATTAGTATATGTCTTAAGCCATTTGATGTCATACCAATTTCAGCTGAATCTAAGCTCATTAATGTGTTAATGCTCAGCGTGTGCTGATCTGCATAACCATCTGCGTAGCATCTTAGATTTTCATGTAATTTGAAGTGGAAATACACCACTATCTTCACGGAGCAGTGAGTAAACAATAATGCAAGACTGCAAGTTAGTATTTATTCACTTTCTTTTTATATTGATTTAAAAATCTTTAGATGGATTTCCACTAACAAATTCTGTTCTTCTGAATCTAGGAATACTTCTTGATTCGGAAAGGAGAAAGTCTGATACTAGTCCAGCCATGTCGCCTCTTAGAATCTCTCTCATCCAGGATATGAGGTGAGTGTAAACTATTAAAACCAACAGAGAAAACCCGTGAGATTTGCACACTTGTTTCTGTGTATAATGCATACCATACAGAAATGTCTGTTTCATACATCAGGAGCGGGATGTAAGGAAGAAACCTGCTGATCTGTTTTAAGTATATAGTGCAACCTTTTCATTAACCTTTACAGAACAGTTTCATACTGAGCAGATTTTATATTGTCGCAGCTACTAGCATATAGAAATACCCTGACACAGTTTTCATCTTTTTGTAAGTATTCTGTATTGTTTTATTTCCAGAGAGGTGGGTGTAACATGTATTTTCTCAGTCATTGCCAAGTTGGTTGCGTAGCTCTGAGCTTCGTTCTTGTGTCTCAATGAAGAAAGCATTTTAAATAACTTGTTTGATCTGAAGAATGGGTTTGTCTAACATTGAGCACTGTAGTGTGAATAAAACTATAACTTCTGCTCAATGCCCTCTTCTCAGTAAATCAAAAAACAATATGCAGAACTTCTAAATTAATTTTGAAAGGATTTTTCTTTCCTCCTTTTTCCTTACCAACATCTAACTTTTTCAGCAGGGAGGAGTGAATTGAGGATCTTCAAGGGACATGCTTGTCCTTTCAAGATACACAATTTGTGTCTTGTATGCAAGAAAAGCTACTTCTGAGCATGCAAAGATGGTATTTAATTTTCCAAAGCATTCAGCCATAAATATTGCAGTGATAAGGTCCAGAATGATTCTTAAATCATGTGAGGCAATAGGCCTGGTTTAGAATTTTGTAAATAGGGCACTGCGTTGCAGATATTTCCTGTTCAGGCTGTTATTCTTTTTGAGCTAGATATGCAAGGAATTTAGATACTGCTGAATATTAAGGTGGTCATGCCTATTTTTCCAGTAGTTTGCCTGATATTTTGCATTCTTGGCAAAATTCCTTCTTCAGCCTAGCTTGGTTCCAAAGAATTGTTGCTCTTTGAAAATACTGGGCAGTGTCTTTTTTTTTTTTTCTTCTTCTTTTCAGGCATATCCAGAACATTAGTGAGATCAAAACAGATGTTGGCAAGGCCAGAGCCTGGGTTCGTCTCTCTATGGAGAAGAAGTTGCTCTCTAGGCATCTAAAACAGCTGCTTTCAGATCATGAACTCACAAAGTAAGATGGTTTATCTTGGGCAAAGCTTTTAAAAATTAAGCCTGTTTAGTTGTTTGACTTCAAAACCCCAGAAGTGCCTATTCTTCCATCTGCTTAGCAGTGTGCAAAAGGAATAGAACAAACTAGCCTTCCAAGTGTATCTCTGTGCCTGTGTATGGGCTATTTGGGAATTATGATTTAATGCTGGGATTCTTCAGATACAGAATCAGTTCTGTCAGCATAGGCTGCCTGTGCCTTCCAGGTGAAATCTTCAAAAATTACTGGGGATTAAATGAAACAGGGTGCAAGTCCAGACACCACTACTTTGAGTCAAGCTTTTTATCTTGGCCTCCTTTCTGTAACTGTGGGATATTTTGTTTTCCCTGGATTGTTTGTGTGTTTTTGCAATGCATGACAAAGTGCACCTTAGGTTCTTGTATGCAGCTCTGTCACAATACGAAGAGTATAAAGGCACATCCAGATGCGCTTCTGTGGTTAGTGCGACTCAGAGTGACTGTTCCTTAGCTTCTCACTTCTGTCTCCAAATCTGAGATGCTCTTGTAACTCTTTTCAGTGCCATGTAAAATAATGTAGATAAAATCAACTTCAGGTGTGGTTTAAGAGGGCAGATGAATGGTGTACATGCAGTACCTTGAAGGTGACTGTGAAGGCTGTGATGATTGTTCTTGCATCTCATTTTGGGGCAATGAGCTCAAGATGAGATCTGGTAATCTTTCCAGCTCAATCTTTCAGAACATGATTGTCCACATCTCTAGATCAAATTGACAGTGTCTCAGCTTTGTTTGTCGTCTCCTACACAGTAAGGTTTTGCATTTATAGCCTGCTTAAGAACATAAGGTGAATTGCTTTTGTAATAGTCAAATATCTGCTATTATGGTACTTTTTTTTTTGTTTTTTATTACTTCTCCTAAATGTTTCACAATATGTGACTTTCAATTCCTTGTATATGAAGTCATAAAAAATTATGAAAAGACCCCAACCATTGAGACCCAAACCACTATTTATAGAGTAATTGTACTATAGGAAGAAAATGGGAGAAGTGTATGAAGTATGGGGGGGAGGAGGATGTGAGTGAGAACTGAATTCTTGAACCTGGAGAGAGTTCCAAATACTGCTGGCTTAAACTCTGTCAAAAGTACTCTGTTCTAGTGCTTCTTATAAGTACGCATCCTGAAGAGCAAAAGGAGGAATGCTCAGCACAAGGACTTATTTACTTGGTGATATTCAGAGCACGTGTATATTTTATTATCCTTGTAAACATAAATAATTCTTCTGTAAATAGTTGCACAAATCAGAGTACAGGCCATATTTAATACTAATTGTTTCAAATTGTAACAATTTGAGGTTTATTTAGTGTAACCTGTACAGGAAAAAAAAAAGTACTTCTGATAAGGTTGGGTATACTGTTTAATGTGTGGAAATTAAAGGTTCTCTTGTATGCGCCCTGGTAATCATCATTAGCTTTAATTGAAGACTTCTTTCTGGAGACAGCTTAACCTATGCTGTCTAGTCGTCTTGTCCTCTCTTCCTGCTCACACCATTTTCCAAGAAATGTCTTTCCTCCCTCAATCCTCCTGAACCCCAACTGTTAATTATTTGAGATTTGCCTTGTATTGAATTATGTTGGACTTTCTGATGAAGCTGTGGCCTTCCAACAGCAAGCAAGGAAAAGTTGAAGGACAGAGTGAGGACAGCTAATAAATCTACCTGTATCTCTAAATTAAGGTTAGGCCTCTCTAGCGAAGTCAACAGTCCAGACCAGGTTAAATTTAGCATGCAGAACAAGTGCTGTGAGGGGACTTCTCGCACACCACCACACTCCACACCTTCCTGGGTAATCTTGTGTGCTTTGTGCTGCCTATTTAGATATCCTACTTAAAGAAAGGTGTTCTAGGCAGCATGGATTTAAAGTGTGCTCCATTTGTTGTTTTTAGGGGAAATAGTGCCAAGTTCAGTGAGGTACTAAAGTAATTGTGCAGCTTCTGCCATTTTACTGTTATAACGTGATTGTGTGGTGTGCTTTTTTGAAGCAACTGTTTGATATTTTAGTTAACCCATTCTCTTCACTTGGCATTTGCTAAAAAAATGTAAGAAAACTGAAACACATCTGGTTTCTTTCTGGTCTGCAAGGGGGCTAGAGTTAGGGAACAGAAGGAAAACACAGCTTCACTCCCCCAAGACCTTTATGTGCACCAGTAAACTGAGAAATCTTACACTTTGGAAAGGCAGGACAGCACATACCCTTGTGGACAGCCTGTCTAAACTTGTGGTTCAGATTGTTCAAATGAAACATGGACATGATCACCCGTGAGACCTTTGTGGGTTTGCTACTCTCATGGCTACAGGCAGGCTATTTTGATTTAAGGCTCAGTATCTTTATTTCTGTTGAACATTTCTTATCAGTCTCTAGTGTTGTGTTTGTTATGTGAGAATATGTGTGTGTGCTAATCATCACTGATCTGTTTTGCAAATTTCTGGCTTGTGAGTCACTCGCTGACTTTTTTGGAATTGATATATGAAATTAAGGGGAATTATCAGGATGCCCTCCTGGCAGGAACAAACCTATCCATGGCTGTGTCAGCATTTCTAACACCTAATTTGTGCATTCATGATGTTTTGAATATTCCTTTAGTGTCAGTTGGATTTTGATGCATCTTGGCATGCTCTTTCTTTATGATTATTCACCGACAGTGGTATTATTTATTGGTTGCATAATTAACAAAAATAGTGGTGATTGCTACATAAAGTAAGTAACCTGAAGAGTGTTTTCCCATCAAAATTTGCACTTGAAAAGGTTGAGGTTGTAAATTCTCTTGCAGGTTTCTCATTTGCAAGTCTTGCAGTATTAAATCCTCTAATGTGTCTGAGTAATTTTAGTAAGTATATAAGATTGTTTCCGTTTACAGTATATTCTTCTGCATAGGTGTTAGTGTCTCCATTAGTGAGAGGAGGCTACTGAGCTACATCTTTAGATATTTCTGCTTAAAAGAAGTTGCAGTTCTTTGCAGAGTTGCAGTCCTAGCAAAGAGTTTGCAGTCCAGTGAAAGGGAACAGTAGGGCTTTAGTAGGACTTCGCATGCTTATGATTTTGGTTATGTCAGGAGCTGTGTGCTGTCAACACTGAAGCTATACCATAGCACATATACCCCGTGCCAGTGGTTGTAGGCCCTGGGTTACCACCTATAACCCAATACAAGCAGATAGCCCCGGTGTTTGCCCTAGTGTCCTTTGCAAACAGTTTTCTAACTGGCTTTGTCATGTGCTGCAGGACTCTCCCACGGCAACATCTGCTCAGAAGTAAGTTACAGGGACTCTCTTTACTTCAATTATGTCATTTCACATGGGCAAAAAAGTCAGAGAATTTTTTCCAAGAAAGTACAAAAGCCCTTTTTCTATCTTTAGGGATGGTTTTGGGTGGGAGAAGACCCTTAGACGGCCCCAAACCTTGCTTTTGAGGAGTGGAAAATAGTGTGGAGTATTGGATTGATGCACTTGGGAAACTTCAGACTTGCAGAGTCAACATACCTTGGCACATTATATACTGTTGGATCTACCAGTATCACTTGTCATTTGTAATCGCTTGGATAGTCTTTATGGTTTACCTAATAAATATGCATAATAGAAAACATTTCACTGAAAGCATCTTGTTACTATGACAGATTATTTGTTTTGCTTTGTCAGAAAACTCTACAAGCGTTATGCATTCCTCCGCTGTGATGATGAGAAAGAACAATTCTTATATCATCTCCTGTCATTCAATGCTGTTGATTACTTTTGCTTTACCAATGTTTTCACAACAATCTGTAAGTATTTGCTTTCCCTGGAACTCTGATTTTCAGAGTTGGTTGAGTCCTTATCCAAAATTCTAACCAGCTCTGAGCCACATGCCTTAATGTAATTGTTCTGCTTTTTTTCCTGGTGTCTATCTCTGTATGCTTTATCACTATTTATCTGATCCTCTCTGGTGGGCAGTAGTGTGTCTCTGTGTGTCACTACAGGCTTTCGTTTCTAACTTGGTAAAACATGGGCAGCTTTAATCCTTTTAGTTGAGGGAGTTCTCAACAGAAAATTTTGTGGTAGGCTTTTTGCATCATGCTAGATAAGAACAGTATGGATTGTTCATTATCAAGGTAAGAATGTTAACTAACACATGCTAGGAATTAAAAAGAAAACAAACAAAAAAGTTTCCCTTTTCGTGCTCAGCCTACTTTACCGCACGCCTGCGGCTGAGTTTGGGATAACAATGAAATGCCCATCGAGGGCCGCATCAGAGCTCTGCAACACATTGAAGTACTTTTGTTTTAAAAAAGATGCCCTGTTGTTGCTGATGCTTAAATGTGTTACAGCGTTCTCATGCATTTGTGTGCCTGTAGCCACAGGACCTCACTAGTATGGCACAGTAAGTAGCAAGGCTTATAAAATTGGGGCCCCCATGGTAGGAGCTGCTCTTGATGGTATGTTATGTTCCATGTCTGAGTGTATGAAAGGCAAAGCAAGCAGGCACCTAAGCAAAATAGGTTTTGATCTTCTTGTGGGGGAGGTTCTGAACAGTACCAAGATCTGGTCTGCTGGATGCAGTTAAATTGTCACTTACTTTAAGACTATCAGCACAGGAACTAAAAAGGAAAACATTTTAATTCATTCTTAAATGCTACGAGCATCAAGCTTTTAAGGAAATCCAACCACCAAATGCTTTCTTGAGGGCACTGACAGCTGAGGAGACATTGAGGGAGAAATGTATTAAATGCCTCAGCTGAAAAGCATAATCCATTTATGCACTATAAAAGAAGGGCAGATCGCCAAGAAACACAATGACTGTTCAGATAATTGGATTTTGTTATAGAAGTTTGGTTAATAGGGGGCTGTGCATGAGCTGCTAGGCAATTGAAGAGCACATGCGTTTCCTCAGGAGCGCATGCCTCCTGAGTCGGTGAAGGGGCTGTAACTCGGGTGATACTATGTTGAATTAGTCACTGGTAAACCAGGGGACTAGAAAGTGTGTGAGCATGTGTGTGGTGCCCCAGTCAGAGGGCAAAAAAGTTGTTTGTTCTTTTTAAAATCAAGAAATCTTACAGTTAACGTAACTAAGAGCAGCATGGTACAGAGACGCTTGCAGTATTATAATGTATTTTCACTGAATTTGTTCAGCCACAGTAGTGAATGCTGCTGCAAGCAAGCCCTGCAAGCAAAGGCTTTGGTTAGTAATTGAATGGGAATTGGTGTTAGTTGTGTAGTGTGTGTACATGCACACACAAAAGCAGGCAATTAGGAGTTGAGTTGCATGCTGAGCTACAATGTAGTCCTGGATACATGAATATTCTGTCTTTGCTTCCTTGTCTCTAACTGGGGACAAGTAACCATCTTCATGACATGTTTTGAGGCTGGTATATGAAAAATTATTGTACCCATGTGAAGGCATTATTCCATCCATATTTCTTTTTTCATTTGACAGTGTTTTGCTATCAGCTCTGCTTCTTAATGATTGCTGTGTGTACACTTCCTGATTGTCTATCAGTGCTTAGTGTGCAAATGTTAGCATGATTAAATAGCAGCTCTGGTGTTGCTTTAACATTTCATGGTACTGCAGTATTATTTTATGACTTATCTTTCCCCTCTCCATTAAAGATGTTACACAATTATCCTTCTTAATTTTTGAAGTGTGATTTCTTCTTGTGTTTGCAGTGATACCATACCACATATTGATTGTTCCTAGCAAGAAACTCGGTGGCTCAATGTTTACAGCCAATCCTTGGATTTGTATCTCGGGAGAATTGGGTGAAACAGGAGTCCTGCAGATTCCCAGGAATATATTAGAAATGACTTTTGAGGTTTGTATTGCTTGATTTAAAAAAAAAAAATAATGCTTTGGATGTTCTGTTTGTCCACTTGTAAATTCTCCCCTTGCTGTACTATCTTGCCATACATTTCATATCTTTAGTCTATGTGGTTAGTCACAAATAATTCCTGTGCCTGTACGTAGCAAATTTAATCTATATTTAATAACACACAGAGCAAAATGACTGACAAATCCTTAGTGCAAGGATGGACAAGACTGTCTTTATATTACAACCTTGTGCTGTAATGCTGGGAGGTGTCATACCCTCTTCTGTTGGAAACAAGTGATTCTGCTCTGATTTTTGTGTATGTGCATGCTTTGGCTAAAATTTAATTGAAAAATCTAGTTCAGCGGATGTTTTTCTCTGCTGATCAAAATAGTATTTAGTAAAACAAAGCAAACAATCAAAAACATATAAAGCAACATACCCCTAAAAAGTCCAGAATCAATCATGCAGTCAGAAAAAGAGAATCACGTTTCTGATCCACTGTCTGAGCGTGTTCTCTAATATTTTACTCCTCCAATACACTCCTCTCTTTCAGTTTACTCTGACAAACTCTTTGTTTAATTTGCAGTGCCAGAACCTGGGAAAACTGACCACAGTGCAAATAGGACATGACAATTCAGGGCTGTATGCGAAGTGGCTAGTGGAATATGTTATGGTCAGAAATGAAATAACAGGGCATACTTACAAGTAAGTATCATCCTGACATTTCATGTTGGGTAAGTAGAATTTCTGCAGGGAGCTGGCACAGTAGGGCTTTTTTGATTAGAAAGGTCTTATCTCCTAGAACTCTGTGTCTACAGCTGCTGCTACCTGAAGGCATAGAAAGGTCATTTGGCTTCTGACATTAAACAAGCTGTGATTCTTACAAAATTAAACAGAATTTTCAGTTTGCAGATGCTCATGTCTAGCCTCCAAATATTGATGGAGAATATGAGTTGACTGTTATGTATCTTAAAAATAATCTACCTTGAGGCCAAGGAAGAAATGGCAAGTTCAAGCTTGCTGCTTACCAAATATGGGTGGTGTTTTATATTAAGGCTGAGTGCTCTAGGTGTATAGAGAGATCTTTGGACACAAGCTGGAGCACAAGGGCTTATGAGTGTTAGAAACCTGTCTTTGCATAGTGAAAGTAAAGGAACGAGACTTACATTAAGAATCAAATTTATTTGTGTTAGGTACAGCATAGTTTGATGCCCTGTCCTTTGTTTAGAGAAACCGTCAGTTCTCTGTCCAGTTTGTTTGTAATTAAACTAAGAGGCCAGATTCTGGTTTTAGATGCTGTTCAGTTTTCCAATTAAACAGACATCAACATTTGTTCACAGAAAGTGATAATGAGCAAGTGAGCATGTGTGCTTTCTAGTGTCCGATTTAATATCCCAATTTCAATAGATGTATTGGTCTTTGAACATTTAAGTATATGTGTGGGGTTTCTTTTGTGGCGGGCCTGCTATGTAACATATTCAAATAAAGCACACCCATATATAGTGTCTAATGGGTCTGCCCCTCCTACCTCTTTTCCTCTGCAGCCCTTAAATCATGTGCTACATATAGGACCTAAGACAAAATCCACCACTGTTTGCTTGGCGGATTAACTAGCGCGACATGTAGCACAAACCTGGAACTGAAAAGCTGTTTTACTTTTGCTCCCTCTGCTGGCAAAATCCAAACCCAAGACTGTTTATTTGTTCCTAGATAAGTAAAGTGTTTCTAGTAACTATGCTAGCAGAATTTGGGGTTTATGCAACTGCAGTTGAAAGTCTTTGGTATGGAATCCAATATGGGTTGAAGGACTTGATCCAAATACCTCCTTTTTGTTCTTAGGTTTCCCTGTGGAAGGTGGCTTGGAAAGGGAATGGATGATGGCAGCTTAGAGAGGATCCTGGTGGGAGAGTTGCTGACTTCCCACACTGAGGTTGATGAGCGGCAGTGCCGAACCCCTCCTTTGCAGCAGTCACCAAGCATGATCAGAAGATTTGTCACTATATCGCCAAACAATAAGCCAAGTGAGTGGTGGGGGTTGTCTTGTCTTGTTCTGTACTGCATCATCACCTAAGGAGAGCTGCTCACAAACAGAACTGTAGGGTTTTTTGTATTTTAGAACTGTAGCTTGGAGAGGACGTGTGAAACTCACTTAGCCAAACCCCTGTCTCAAAGTCCGGCTAACTTCCGAGTTACAATCCTGAGCGACCTGTTCTATCTACTCAAGTTTTGAAAGTCTCCAAGGATGAAAGGAAGCTATCTCTGGACTCCTCGTCCAGTGCTTAGCTGCCCTAGTGGTGTTCTCTTTATTCTTGTCCTTCATCTGTGGAGTGAATGCTATGGAGGAAGGTAGAAATTTGCTGTCCTGTCTGTATTTATCCTTCATGGATGAAAAAGCTTGCTAGTGGTTTCTACTTGTGAACTTCAGTTTTCTATTGAGATTGCTATTCTGGGGTTGTCTTATTCCTGATAAATCAGGTAGTTACTTTGGTTCCAAGCATGCTTGAGTTTACAGTGAAACTGTCGCAGGAAATATTTCCAGGATGCCTAGATTTTGTGGTCCTAACCAAAGCACATCTCCTGTTCTTGGGTTTGGGACCTGGTCTGAAAATGCATATAATATGTAAAAAGCATTTCCACCTGATATTGTGTTGAAACATCACAGTGTTAACTTCAATATCGAACCAAACCATCTCCATTTCTACCCCCTCCACAGTAAATAAAAGTAGAATTGGATTTCTGTTACCCACAGTCCAGCACCTTTTCACTAACAGCATAGGTTATACTGGTTCATGCTTTTTTTTTTTTTTTTGTGTGTGGTATGCCTTATCCCTCATGCATAGGTACAATTTCTAAAGCTGTTACAGAGTGACTGGGTATAGTTTTCTATTTTGCAGAGTTAAATACTGGTCAGATACAAGAAGCTATTGGTGAAGCTGTCAACGGTATTGTCAAGCATTTCCACAAGCCAGAGAAGGAGGTGAGGAGTTGGGTTGTCTATGTAGTGGCACTCCTGCCTTAAAACTCTTACTAGTAAGCATTGTAGAATATATAACAGAAATAACTAAACTGAATGAACAGCCATCTGTTTGAAAATTCCTTAAGTGGAGCAAAAATGAGATACTGAGACTACACAGTTGGAATAGTACGTCCTCAAGTACCTCAGTTTTGCTGCTAACTGGAACATTCTGTTAATTTAAGTGTTAACATTGTGTTATTGGAAATTGTGTTATTAGTCAACTAGATTAACTGGTATTTTACATCTACACTGAATACTGGGTAGGCTTTTTTATGCCTGTTTTGCTTTATCTTTGCTACTTAAAACATGAAAAACCATGGGCCACTTTAAGAAGACAAAAGAAACAGAAGTTGTCCCCCCCCCGTCCCCTTCCCAAATGATGCAGAAGTGCTGTCAGAGACTCTGGTACACTTATACATTATACACCTAATCATCTTAACTGACACAGGAGTTATTTCCTGAAAGAAACTTAAGAAGCATGCCTCTGTCAAAGCATCAAAATCCAGCCGTCTGTGAGCAGGAGTGGTGTAGGGCAGTGCTGGCTCCTACATGGGTATCTCTTGAAAGTCATTAATTTTTTACAGATAGGTCCTCCCATTCCCTCTGTATCTATCTTTTCTAAGTTCAGCATAGCATGGCAAATTAATATACAGTATAATTCTGGTTGATGATCACAGTTACGCAATAACCTCAAGTGGTCACGTGCAGGTTTTGCTAAATAGAATTTACCATCGTGCTCTAAAGTAGAATTTGTGTTTTTTTCTGAAGTTTAAAAATTTCTTCAAATGTTGTTTTTGTTGATAAGCAAACAGTCTGAGGCACCTGCTACAATGGACCTGTGATCTTTATTACTTAGTAAAAGAGGAAAATATTTCCTTAATTTTCTGTACGGTGGTTATTATTACAGGTAAAACGTGCTTATGATCTTGATCTTGGTCTTTTTGTGGCTTCATTTGATGATGAGGCCCTGAGACCACTTTCTTCAGCCTCATTCTTCGAGAGGTCAACAAATTTTTGAATGCTCAGGACTTGAGAGCTGGGCCATCCTGTCTGGAGGCACTGATTGATAGTAGACTGTAACTTTGGGCATCTATTTATTTAAAAACTGGTCTCAGTAGTAGATGCATGAGACACTTTTGTGTCCCGGGCTTCCAAACTGAGATACTAAGTGTGTGTGCTTTCTGCGTGTGCTTGGCAGAGAGGCAGCCTGACGCTGTTGCTGTGTGGAGAAAGTGGACTTGTTTCAGCTCTTGAGCAAGTGTTTCAGCATGGATTTAAATCACCAAGACTCTTCAAAAATGTCTTTATTTGGGACTTCTTAGGTAAGTGTGAGGAAGACATACCAGAGCCTGCTTGTGTCTTCAAAATATATCCATCCGTGTGCATTTTCATTGCCACTGTGTCTCAGCTGGTGTGAACAGCATACTTCTTGAAGGCATCTCATCGGCATCTCCTTATATCATCATTTGACTGTAGCATCTCAAAATTCAGTAGATATTGGAACCACTTTAGCACTGTTCACAGGGAAGGAAGTGGGATCCCAGTTTTACACATGGGGAACACAGGACTGAACACAGTGCCTAGACATAATAATTCAGGGAGTTAATAGATAAGCTTTGTAACTATTCCCTCCGTGACACAGATGCTCATGCTGAGTTTCCAGTGGTGCGATATGGGCATCAGATAGCCTTATGGATTTGTAAGCATGCTTACAGGGAAACCATTATGCTGAGATGGTATTAAACTTAATCATCTAAATTTGAAGGTCATGGTACCTAATTATTTTATTTCAAGCACAGGAGAATCATATTTCAGATATTTTAGGACTGCTACATGCACTGATGAAATTTCATTATCTCCCACCATTCTTTTAAGAAAAAGCACAAACATATTATGAGACCCTTGAGCAGAATGAAATGGTGCCAGAAGAGAACTGGCAGACAAGGGCCAGGAATTTCTGTCGCTTTATCACTGCTATCAACAACACCCCTAGAAACATTGGGAAGGATGGAAAGTTTCAGATGCTGGTGTGTCTTGGAGCCAGGTATAGACACTTCTTTATTATTATTGTTGTTGTTGTTGCTATTGATTTTTTTAATAAAATGAAAAGGATGTTGCATATTAGTAAGATAAAGCCACGAAGTTGCTGGATTTTGCAGTTTGACAATTACTTATACAGTTCTGTCATGTAACTGAAGAAAGATTCAAGTGAACCATGCCCTGACTGAATTCTTAGGCATGTGAAGTGTGGGAAATCTAAGATACAAAATGGAGTATCCCAAAGAGCTGAGCAGCTGAATCAAGAGAGAAAGGTAGTAGGCTGGTGTGAATAGCCTCCCTCTCATGCACAGCTAGCAAGACTGGAAGAAACAGAAAACCAGAGTGAGGCCTCTCCAGTTAATGGCTGGGTGAATTCCCCACCCTCCACCTACTCATTGTAGGAGATGGGTAGGAAGGGAAGCTGGGACCATGTAGAAGCCTCTTGACACAAAGGCAGTGGAGCAAGCTAGTGACTTTGGGCCTGCTTGGGACTTCCAGGCCTCCTGTGAACCGTATCTTCTGATGTGAGGGGTGGGAAGCCTAGAAACACATCTCTCATGGATGCTCCCCACTTAAACAAGTACCACTGACAGTTACTCCCCCTTCCCCAGCTTATAAAAATACATGGAGAAGATGGTAGGCCTGTTTAGAAGGCAAAGAATCATGTCAATGAAAACGAGAATTTAACTTGGCTTTATTTCTGTTTCCAAATTGCAAATCGCTGCTTTGTCAGAGACCACCTTTTGCATCACTGGATCGCCCTGCTTGCGGACTGCCCGATCACAGCACAGATGTATGAAGACATAGCACTGATTAAGGATCATACTCTTGTGAATTCTTTGATTCGAGTGCTGCAGACGTTGCAGGAGTTCAACATTACGCTGGAGGCATCTCTTGTCAAAGGAATCGATATTTGACCTCTTGTCCCACAGGAAAAACTATCTTTTAAAAAGAAAAAAAAAGCAACAAGGAGTGAATCTCGTTAGTATGCAAAAGTTCTGTCTGCCAGTACATTGTATCGTGAACTTGTTCATGGCCCTAAAACTCAACTTTGACTTTTCTTGAAGGCAACTCCAAAAATAGTACAGGCAAATGGATAGAAGCTGTAAACTCAATGTAAAAAAGAGGATTTTGGTATAAATCTATTTTAGAGTTTATTTGCTGATTTGCTTTTTACACACTTTCATGTGAAAGAGATAGAGATGAGTATTGTGCAGCTTATTTTAAAGCTGCAGTATTTCCTTGCCATAGAAAATGTGCAGTGAGCCTTTCAGCATTCTGTGAACTTGCCTTTGGATATGCTGTATGTCATAGACCCCAATGTATACACTCCATTTCTGCTGAGAAGGTCATTCTATAGTTTTTAAACTAATATTTTATATATTAACATTATTACCAATGTTTGATTTTTTAACGTATCGGGTCACATTCTGCTGCAAGGGAACTACAAATCTGATGTGTGCTTTTTTTTAATAGCTCCAACGCACTGATTTGTCAGCAAATCATTTTTTCCTTTATTTTTGTTGTCAGTATTATTTTTAGTGAAATCCAGGAGACTGAACAGTGAAATGTGCAGAGATCAAAGTAATATTTTTCATATTGGTACGTAATTGCACAGAAGAAATTGTGTGTTTTTAACTGATGTTTTTTATTTATTTAACCTATCGTGTTTTGTAAGTTTGTCTTTAAAAAAGAAAATCTTCTATGGTTCAACTGGCTATATTATGTTGCAATTCAGAATTTACAGTGCAGCCCACTTAAATGAAAAACCTGAAATAATTGTTCATAATACAAAAATGTTTCCACTTGAACCAGCCTTCTGAAGTGTGGTATCTGGTTGCTGCTGGTAATTCTCTTAACTGCTAATAAAGAGGGACATGAGTTTCTCAAATGCCAGATGACTAAATAAAGGTGTTTATGCCCCCACAAAATAATAATGGTATACCTAACTAGAAAATACAAGGATTTCTTAATTTTTCTGAAAAGACAGTGAGTAGTAAAGGTGTTTTCTTTTTGAATGAATTTGTCTTGGATCCTGTTGATACAGTCTGCTTCATTTGGGATGCTTTTGTTTTTAGTACAGGAAGCTTTAGTCCACTTCTACAGTAAAACACAAACATTGTGAAAGCTTAATTTATTGGAGATCTGGAACTTGGCAGATGCCTAAAGGCATCTCTGTTCATTTGAATCCTCCGATAAAAATCTCTTTGAAGTGAATATGTGACTTAAGAACAGGCTGATTTATCAGCATCACAAATTACTGTACAGAAATTCAGGGCTATGCATTTAAGAGGTCTCTGCTGTATAAACTTATCTCAGTATTGTCTCTCTTTTGAGAAGCCGAGTCCAAGTTTTTCAGTTCATACAATGTTGTAGCACCTTTGCTTTTACCTACCGCTTAGTCACATCTTGTGATAGTTTTATTTTCATAATTTATAAGTATAGCACATGTATTAAATTTTTGACTATTTTTACTTTTGTCCTATTTATTTCATTATTAAACTGAGAAGTTCCTTTGTCACTACTTATCAGAGCGAGATTATTTTTTAATTTCACAGTAGCATTAGGAAGATGCAAGGGCAATTTCCAACCCACTTCTCATGCTGGGTAGGTGCGAGTCCTTTCACAGTCTGGAGCTTACAGGAGTATTTCACAGAAGTATTTTGTATGTGCAAGTTTGGTTTTGATAATTTTTTTTTTCCATCTTTGGAAGGGCAAAAATAAAACATACTTTATTCTAAGGATTTCATGTATTCAACTTAATATGTTGGGATAATATTTATACGCTTGCCCCAAATTGCTTATTTATGTATAAATAATAGCAAAAAAAATAAAAATTACAGTGCTTTCAGCTGTATTTAGGATGACTTTACTGGGCCTGTGTATTTCACAGGGAACATGTCTACGTAAGAAAGGAGAGTTGGATTAAGTATTTTGACCATAACAGACTAGTTGATCCTGTTAAAACCACTTCTCTCATAGTATTAAGTATGGATTAATTTTATCATGCATGAGGAAATTAACCCTGAATTAAGGTGTTTTGTTTTTTTTTTTCTTCACACAAGTTCACCTAATATGGCATGATACCATTGGTTTAATGGCTTGCTTTGGTGTGGATCTTTTTGACCTCATTATAACAGTTAGTGACACCTGGGATGGACACAGTCTGGGGTTTGCTGGTTCCCAAGTGGTGAGTTCTTTGGCTAGCACATGAGGACGAAGCTGTCTGTCAGTGACAGCACTGTGTTGTGCTGGCTGTCCAGATACAAAAGGAAGATGCAGAGGTCATCTTCCCAGCTCCTCAGTTACTTTATTTTCAGAGGAAAGGCCACTTTGTGATAGACCCTCCCTGCTTCTCTCACAGAGGGGACTATGCTTAATCCCATTAGGATTTAAAGCACTTTTTGGTATGGACTCCTGAGTCTGGAAGGATTTGCTCTGCTGAAGAGCCGTAGAAGGTTCTGAAATGCAGCAGAAAAATTGTTGGTTTTATTGGCCACCAAGGAAGATTGAGATATTAAATACAGCTCTGCGGTAATCTGTGCTAGGGTTTTGGGAAGAGATTTGGCTGGCGTGTCTAAGAACAGTTCAGTTTGTAGTGGCAGCCATAATCCCTACCACTCTTCAGTGTTTACCACAAACCAACCTACTTCTTTCATTGACGTAGCTAAATCAGTCCCACAGAATAACGTGAGGATCCGGCATTTGCTCCTTCCATGCCATTCTGCTGAACTGGCTGACTCTTTGTAAGAAGAAATGGTGCACTCTGCATCTTTTGCTCTTTAACTAGAACCTTGCAAAATCCATATCCCTTTTTAAAACTTCCATTGCATTTTTTGTTCAGAAGTGAGCTATAGAATAATGCAGTCATAACCTTTTTTTTTTTTTTTTTTTTTTTTCCTGTTGCCTTTCTAAAATAAGGGAGCAGGTTTGGTAGGTGCAGGTTAATGTGGCTATGCTGTTTTGTTGGTTGGTCTTTCTTTTTTATTTTTGTAACAGTTAATGGGAAAAGATAATGTTTTTAACAGCAGATGTGCATTCTGTAGAGAGAAGTACAATGATAAAAAGGAAGCAGTTCATAACGCAGTAAATATATGTAGTGCTAACTTGGCCAAACATGTTTACAGGCTGATACCTGATTTGAGGAGAAAAACCAGGCTATCACTTATCAATTATTTATGCTTCTTTGATTAATGCTGTCAGAGTTGATACAATGATACTTTATACAAAAAGAAAAGGCGTGTTTTAAATGTAATTAAATACTATGATGATAAGTTTATACAAAAAATAGCCTTTACCTGCCATAAATTTTACCATCTGACATTCTGTAGCTGAAAACATATTCATGAACTGAAGACTGTTCCACAACTTTTTCCATTATGAAGAGTATTTTTTAAATTGTCCAAACAGGACTTACTAGCTTGGATGATCCATATTTTTGACGTGTTTTAAATTCATGAATATGTTAAGGTTTCTGCAGTGAAACTATTCAGACGTAACTTTTTCTGTATATTGTCAAATGATTTTTGTCCATAGTGCAAGATACTATAGGATACTTGAAAATACTTGAAGATATTGTACACGTACTTCACATCTTTGTAGTTCTTTATTTTATACCTAGAGATTGGCTGTTAAACTAAGGTAAACCATCGATACCTTATAAACTATATATTTTACTACGTGGGGAAATCACTGGCTTTTTTTTTTTAAGGGCGGGCATTGAAGTTTACATTATCATGACAAAACCAGGTAATGTTTTTCTTTTTTATTTTTCCTGTGACATTTCAATTCATTGGACATTAAATGTGAATTGGATATACAAAACAGTTTTACAGGTGTAGCTCATTTGCTGAATTGCAATAAAATTTGTCTTCTAACATGAGAAATAGAATTAATGTGCTATTTTTCAAAAGCCCTCTTACTATCATTTGGCTAATCATCTTTTCTTCTTTGCCTGACTGCAGGTATGTGTGACATCTTAGTGTCTGATTTCAGGAGACCTTTTTTGTACAGTTTTGTATCTGATCTTTTCAACTAAATGTCTGCCTCCCTGTCAGCACCAGTGTAGCCTTCTTGCAAGCCATTGTTGTCAGTCAGACAGCCATCACTGGAAGAGGTGCCTACTCAGTAATCAGGGAATGGGGAGAACGGGAAGGCAAAGGGACTAATGGAGATCTTTGAAGGTATCTGTGAGTACGCACACACGTATGTGCTGCCATTTATATCGGCTTTTTTCCTACCTTAGAAAAACTTTTGATTCCAATAACCAAATTTGATGGAGGTCTCCAAATTTTATGTTCTGAAAAATACAGTTAGTCACCTCTGTGTACTGTGTGCTCAACCTTTTTCTTTATGTGAGAAGATCCATACAGAGAAGCAGGAATTGTTGGAAATGTAACTATCTGATGCTTCAAATACAAGGTTAAGTGAGAAAACAGCACTGTCCTCCATCTCTGAAGTGCTGAGAACACCTGTGGCACACATGTGCCCAAGCATTATTGTCTATATTGCCTGTTTCCTACCTTTTTTACCCCATCTTTGCCCAGGGTAAGATCTAAATTGACAGATTAGTCCCGAAGGAGGAATTACTGGGTGGAGGGGTTGTACTGGCACAAAGGCAAAAGTATGGTTCCTTCCCTCTCCATTCATTCACTTCTTGAATTATTTGAAGCGCATGGAGCCCTGTATAATCTTGGTTCATTAGATGATGTTCTGCTTATCTTACCTTGAAACTGGTTCTGCCTGCTTTTCTGTATATTAAATGTGGTTTTTAGATTTGAGTGGGGTAGTAAACTGAGCACAACTAATTTGTGGCTATGCTTTTGTAATTTTTCTGCTGCCTATATCCTGAAAGTTTTATGTGTCAATTATGTGAGAAGCAGGGAGACCATGTCAGTTTTACTCGCTTTCATCTCCTGCTTCATCCAAAATGCACTCTCCAGGACATCCCTG